TTAAAAGTTAGCCATGCGATTTAACCAAAAACTCGGTCAAATTTAAGTGGAATTATATTTTAACAAAACATAAAGCGAGAAGAATAAATCGAAGAACTGTGAAGCGAATAAATGCCGTGGGAATGGAGATTTATCAAAAGACGCAGACAGATGCAGCATCTTCATCAGAGATTATGTTTCTTTTCTTTTGTGGAATTATTTCTACCGATCTAGGGTTTATAACCCTGAACCTCTTAGAATATTGACAAACGTAAGCGATCACCCCAGTTCTAGGATATCAGCCGTTACTGTGCATGATAATTTGCATTTCCCAGTTAGAGAAAAACCGAGGCATCATACAGAGACTGACTAGATCAGGCATTATCAATCTAATATATTTACGGTTAATAGGCATTTCCTTTGAAAATACTATTAAAAACGGTGTACGGCTCAATTAAAATAAATATATTACTATAAAGTAGCGAGTAATATATTTACTTTTAACGTTTACAAAAGAGGGGAGTAAAGGACGGTCCTCCTGAAGGATCAAGAATAATATGATATAGTAGATACCGTCGAGATCTGTAGGTGTGGGCAGTGCGTAAATTGGATGTAACAGTGCTTTTCTGACCGATGGACGGTTTCTATCGAATAAATACATAGTCGGTTTCTGTCTTAATGCCGCTGTCATGTTCGACATTAAAACGTCCTCAGGATGTCCGCTCCAGGCGCCGACAACTCACTACGAGCATCCAGGTGAAGTTTGAGGGAGGTCCCGTGCAGGTTTTTGGTTGCGGCAAATGCACAGAAAGCCAAATCTACCATGGGCTGCCTACAATGCGTATTTGTATCGTCTTTACATCGTGCTGGTCACCATTTAGATGTCGCAAACAATTTAAAAACCCTACTGGCGCCAGGCGACTGTCAAATAAAGAGCAATTATGGTTAAAATAAATGTTGAGTATGTAACAGGCCAGTGGAAATGAGAAGATGAATGAGGCAAGTGGCACAATGATACCAGACTTTTTAGGCAGAAAAGCGAAAGATGTAGACATGCGGGTTTTCGGACGAGTAGTCGGGTGAGACTTACGTTCCTAAATGATATAAGCTAACTGTCCTTGCGTCAGTTACGAGTGTCCTGAACTGATGGATGCGGTAGGCATGGTGAAAGCATAAACTGAAGCGAGTGTTCGCATCCCGCCTGTGTGTAGGAAAAGAAAAATGCATGTCGACCACCTAGCGCATTGCTGTGGAATTATGTGTCAGAGTTGCACACTGACCCAAGACTACCATGTGCAGCCGAGTCATGAAAATTCAGGAGCGGTTATATTCTAGTGAGTAGTCGGGGGTTGTATATCGCGTACCGTGCCTAAACTGTCCTCGAAATTACACAGGACAGACTGGACGCATGCTTAGCTCGCGCATACACGAACATAAGTTGACCGTAAAATGGGGTGACGTATTATCACAAGTGGCTGCCAACACCTACGAGAAGGGTTACGAATTTAACTTCGCAGCCACGAAGATAATCGCCCCATGCCGGCAGCAAGACAGGCCGAGGATTGATTTAGGCCTGGGCCTCAGATGAGAGCTCATTCAATCGACTTATCGAGCTGGCGCCAACATACAGAGCCCTGTGCAGTCACCTCCGGACTGACGTCACTGGTGGTTGATTGGCCCCTTTTTCCCCTTTAGCTGTTGCTTGTTTTATGAGTTGACACTTTCATCTCTGACGACGGACTCCAGTAAGAGTTCGAAAGCTCAGACGAATAGAGCCCTTATTTCAGTGATCGACGTGCATTCTTCTTTACCCATAAAAGTATGCATAGCTGCGAACAGTCGTGAGCCCAGGTGATGTGGTTAGGCTGATTTACACACGCAATCGGACCTTCAGGATTTGCATGCAACATGCGGTTGAATGTTTGCATTACCATCACGCACTTATTCGCTGGTCTCGAAGTCTACCTGCAGATAAGTGTGAAGGAGGGGGAAGCCAGCGCAGGGATAAAATACTAGCATCTAGTACTAAACTTACGTAGAAGGCAGTTGAGTGGTGGGTTTCAGAATCCCGCCTGGTTTCTCGACGGCGGCTTCAATGAGCAATTTTGGCATGCTCCGCTCAGAAAGGCTGATGAACTCAGTCGAGACCTCGACAGTGACATTAATGGGCAGTTCAGAGACCTGTAGTTGAACGCTAAAGGCCGGATTTGAAATAGGCACATCTTTCGTAACATGTGCAACGCTTGGTTGAGATGTCGACAGGCGAAGGCAGTCTGTTTTAGACTCGAAGGTAACGGATTGAGGCTCTTTGGGAAGACAAATCTAAAGAGAAGGAACCCTGGT